TAGTTTTGAGGGCTACACATATACCAGACAGAGGCAAAGAAAAGCAGGCTCTGAAACACCCTTTCCTAAAGGCAGTAACAACACTTGTTCTCTGGATAGTAACATGGATTTGTACGTGTGCGCCACAAAATGTGAAATCACACACAATTTGTCCTTCCCACAAGGGCAGGCCTGGGGCCTGTGATGCTGCAGTATTGTGGGTTTCTCTGCAAAGAGTTGGTTCATAGTGGAAGTGTGCCCTTTGGGATCACACCCCTGACAGTGAAAGACAGGAAAGAGTTTGGTGGCTATTCCTTAAACCTATTGAGTAATCCTTCCAGGGGCTGGTTAGGCTTTTACTGTAGGTTTAGCATAGCAAAGCTGTACTACACATGAAACAGTGCCGCATTTATCTACTTGATACACACAAACGCAGCAGCAGCTACTCAAATCCATGTACTCCAGGAAATCTCTCCAAAGGGCTCCACCTCGGCTTAGCTACACTCCCACTGAAGTCAGCGGTAAAGCTCCCAGTGTTGACAAGAGCAAAGTTAGGCCTTTAGAAAATCCCTCCCCCAAGCCACTCATAGGTGGATACTGTCAGTATGTTAGAAAAGGCCTGGCCAAACCTCCAGATCAGGGTGGAGGGGCCCCGAGAGCAGCGCCCCGGCCTGTGTCCCTGCCCAGCGCAGCTGAAGGGTCTAAGACAACAAGCAAATGAAGGGCAAGGCTGGGGAATGAAGATACAATTTATAAGTAATTGCCCCCTTACCTAGCCCTTACCAGTTGTCCGTTTCCTGTAGCTACCACAGTTGCCTAGATCTTGGAGGAGGATTTGAAGGGGGAGAGTATTATGAACCAAGGGGCATTAAGTTAGTGATCTAAGGACTTCTGTAAGGCAGGCAGCCCATTCCTAAAGGCTGGCCTAGACAGAATGAAGAAGGAAATAGCTAAGTTGTGACTAAGACAGACATGTTTTCAAATAAAGTATGAACAGCAAGACCACAGCTACTGCTTTGATACCATTCTAAGGGATTGTAGCCAATGGACTATCTGGATTCATGAATGAAATCTGCAAAAATCTCACAAAATAGTCTTGCAAAGTTCACTTTGATTGGCTGTGACACGAGTCGAGTTGAGTTGAGGACGGACAACTGAAGGACCATGAAAAAGGAAACAATGGATTCGCTGGTTGCCCGGTATCCAGTGAGCTGCCCATGGATTGGTATTCGACCCGTTTTTATTTAGTTACTTATGTCTGAAAGAGTTTGTTTAAAATCTTCCTTAAGAACCTGGCTGGGCGTTGGAGGGGTGTGGGACGACATGAACTCAGGGTAGTTGGGTTGGAGCAGCCTGCAGAGAAAGCTACAAGCTGCCTGCATTTGTAGGTGGGGGCGGGAGGTAGAATTGAAGGTGTGAGATGGAGAGGGTAGCTGGAGAAAGCAGGAGCAGTGCGGGAGGTGCGCGAAGATGATGTTATGAGAAGCCAAAGCAGTGGAGCTGGACAACAGTACTTGTGGAAGAGAAGGAGGGGAAGCTGCGGGGGAGCAAATTATTTCAGACTGGGTGCACTCACAGCCAACCTGATGTGAAAGCCTTGGATGGGAGATGGATGCATTCCAACTACTACAGGCTGAACCTCTCCAGTCCAGAACTCTCTAGTCCAGCAACATCCGTCATCTGGAACTATTCTAGCTAGCCGGGTGTCCTCTTTTCATGGGTGTGACCAAGTTTCCTGTGGTCCCATAAAGTTTGTTACAGACACCAGTCCTGGCTCTCAGTGTTCTGTGCTGCTATTTAGTAAAAATCTACTAAGAACCAGGAAATAGGGGAAGTGTTGATAATGCTTCCAGACAATATTGACCTCCCGTGGTCCGGGAAATTCTCCGGTTCGGAACCGGTCAGGTCCCAAGGGCACCGGACAAGAGAGGTTCAACCTGTACAGTGATGTACCAGCGCAAATGAAGAAGTGGTAAACTACACATTCAGGGATGATCTTCAAAGGCACAAAGGCAGTTGAGCCTCCCAAGTCAAATTCTCCTTTGTGTCTTTAGAAATCTGCCCTATCTACCGACGACACTCCACTGGAGAAGGTGCTGCAAATCCCAGAGAAGACAGAAAAATAACCCCCAAAAGTTTTTCCACATGCTCAAACTGCCCACGTGTCACATAAGAAAATTTGAGCACTGACCCAGTCGCCCGGAGCTCCAGCATGACGAGGGAAATGTAATTACTATAGATCTGTCAAAATGGACTATCCATAGACCTGACCCAGGCCCTTCATCACCACTGGCACCCTGCATTAGGATTCTGCCTGGCCCTGGAATCCATGCTAGCTCGGCCCTTAGCTACACTGAAACCAGAAGCCCAGACAGACTTAAGTAGTGAGGTCACTTTGGAAACGGGACCAAAACCCCTAGCACTGTGTATAAATAACAACATGACACAGACTGACAAAGGCCATACAAATATGAAAGGGCAGTCTGGCAAAGTCATTTCCTGGCTTGCTGCATTGTGTGTCCAACTGTTACAGTTATTTTTTCCTACTCCATTTTCCTCATATTCCACTTAATTGGGTAAATGTGTATTTGGAAAGGCTTAGCATTTGCCTCACAACTGCACCAAGCAGTAGAGGAGTAAAAGAAATTTACATGACAGGCTAGAATACTGCCTTCGGTTCCAAACTACGGGGCTTGCAGGAAGATTGTAGCATTCTGCAACATATCCCTTAAAAAACACAAACAGATCGAGTGAAGATAAAGAAAAACCCCTAAAAGGGATCAGTATTTTCATTCTTTGGACTTCAACGATTGAATGAATTACTTGTAAATGTATCTCTGTTCTACCGAAGGGCTTGGTATGTATCACACCAGAATGTAATTTTACTGTTGAATTGTGAACCTTTAAAAACAGCCACAGGTATTAGCTGCAAGTACAACAAAGCAAAATATGTAAGCTCCCCAGACATTTGTAGACAGAGGTGAAAAAAGTATCTTCCCAGAGTTTTTCTGACTCTTAACCAGTGCAGCTACTGAAAAACTAGTGACGTGTTTAACTTACGGAGGACTTATCGGGATAGACACCGGCACGCAGCAGGGATGCCTTCCAGCTATCCACTTCCTCCTGCGCATCACAGGCCAGCTCGAGGAAGCGATAATCCTTGTAAACATTCCTAGAACACAGAACATTACACTGTAAAATTGGATCTTTGCTACTCTATACCATGGACACAAGGTATTTCAAATTAAAAAACCCCTTCAGAAGCGATGATTGTTTGATAGCTCTTTGAAAGGGGAGGCAAGGGATGATCTGATAATCACACAAAGAATCGAAACATGTCAATTTAAAATAACGGTCTGGATGCACTGTTGTGTCAGAAGTTTCAGACCTATTCTAAAAATCAGGCTTTCTGCACTAAGGCAGATTTAGAGGCAAAATGCTGCTAGAAGGCAGTGGACAGAGACAGTAGTGGAAGGATTGCCAACAAAGTTATACGACCTCTGACTGGCAGCTGCAGTAGCGGCACGTCAAATGGGCAGCGCACGCGATTAATAGCGATTCATTTTTTAATCGCTTGACAGCCCTATTAATTACCTAATTCAACATCTACATACAGACTAGATTGCCATAAATTGGTTAACTCATCTTCTCAGGAAAGGCTAGAAGCTTAGTCAGGCGAAATTGTGAGCCCTATGTTGCTAGATCTTCATAGAGATGCCAGAATCCATTTCTAGTTACAAGACCACTTTCCCTAGCAGCAATGGAGCACTACCTGGGGGGGAGAGAGTAGCCAATGCCAGGCACCCCAGAGGGAGTGAACGGGACAGGGACTCCTCAATTGATCCCTCTCTTATCTAGCTATATTATATTAGCACTGTCTCTAGCAACATATCTTAGAGCGGGAGCCGGGTTGGTCTGACAAACCAGCAGCTTAAGAAATCTGGGTTGTCTTAACCATGTGACAGATATAGCTGAACCTCATTTAATCTACAGCCCTTGGGGATTTGGAATCCATATGCATAAAGCA